GCCATCACGTGGTCCCCAGGACCTTGGCTGCGCTAGCCCTGCCCAGTGTTATCATGGCACAAGCAGATTCCTGTCTCTGCACCTGGCCCTCCTTCCAGCCGAGCTGTGACCCCGCACCGGGCCGGATCGCAGTGCTGGTGCTGAAGGTCTGTGCCTCAGGCCCTGGCCCTGCACTCTGAGCTGGCTGTGAGTAAAGCTGCCAGTGTCTAGCCTTGCTGGTTGCACAGACGCACTGAGAACATGACTCGAGCGGCACTGATGCAGTGACGCTGCCTGAATATGCAGAGAGCCTGACCCTGTCGCTGGGCGGGGAGGAGCTGTCCTGAGTGTGACTGACTCAGTGACACTGTCTGAGTCTGCAGAGAGCCTGAATCCGTCGCTCCAAGAGGGAAGAATTGCCCTGAGTGTGACCAATGATGCCTGAGTGTACAGAGAGCCTGAGCCAATTGCTATGAGAAGGGGAAGCTGCCCCGAGTGTGAGTGATGCCGTGATGCTGCCTGAGTCTGCAGAGAGCCTGAGCCCAATGCTGGGTGGGGTGGGGGGGGAAAGCTGCCCTGAGTGTAACTGGGGTAGCCAGACAAAGGCAGGGTTATTATCCCATTTTACAGAGAGGGACATGAGGCCCACAGGCTTGAATTTTCAGAGGTGCCCAAGGGGCTTAGGCACTCCCTTCCCACGGAGTTTCTCTCAGCCAGACAGATTCAATGATTGGCCCAGGCAGGAACCAAACCCAGCTCTCCTGAGCCTTAGCCATATACCCACCAGCCCGGACTGTGTGCCCCATGGTAGCGCAGCTCAGCCGCTCCCTGTGGGGCGTGGGCACAGCAGCCCTCGACTGGGGCACAAACCAGGGAGGCCTGTCCCCTGGGAACAGCCATGGGGGTGGTGGGTGAGGGGCTTTGCCTGCATTCGGAGGTCCCTATCCCCCGGCTGTTTAAGTAGCTGGGCTGATGCTGCAGCTGCCGTTGGCAGGTCTGAGTGAGCCGCGGGGTAACCTCAGTTCCCCGCTGGCTGATACGCAGGGGAGAGCCAGGAAGGTGACCTGGTGTGTGTGTGGGTGAGATTCAGACATGTGTGGGGCTGGGTGGGGTCGGCTGGAAAGTCACATCTCATGCCAGCGTCAGGGCTCAGCTCAGACCAGGGAACATCCTTACGGAGTGTGGGGCAACCCACATGTCAGCTGTGCCCCTCATTACAACAAAAACCTGATGGCAACGCTGAGAACAATGGGGCAGGAGCTGGGACACACATGGATTCCCAGCCTGGAGAGAGGGGAGATCAAGGAGGCACAGAGCTGGAATAGAACCCAGGAGTCCTGGCTCCCCGCCCCCCTGCTCTAACCCACCAGCACCACTCCCCTCCCAGAGCTGGGAGAGAACCCAGGTGTCCTGGCTCCCAGGCCCCGGTTCTGGAGGAAGGCTGGGAGGGCTCTAGCTACCCAGCTCCGTGGGCGGTGCCCAAATCCTTGGCGAGGCCTTTGTCCCGCACACACCGCGCTGCCGTGTGCCCGGTTACACAGCTGCTCTCTGGCTGCTGGGCTGAGTCACTGGAAAGTCCCTCATTGCCCGGGCTGGAGCTGGCACCAAGACGCAGCTCACTGCATGAGGCTCCGATGCCCCCTGCCGGGATCTTGGCTGGGTTCTGAGAAATCACCCTGGGGCAGGGGGACAGTTGGAGCCGGTCACGAAGGTGGAAGGAGCGTGACCCCATGACCCCCGCTGGGGGGACCAAATAGCCCAAGTTTATAGGGCCAGGCCCACAATTCAGGGCTTTGTCTGACCCTATCACCCTGCCCCCCAGCCTGAATTTTCACACTTGCTGTCTGGTCACCTGCCCCCTGCCTGCCAACGGCCTACATGACCCACTGTGGGGTGTGCCTATAGGAGCGGCTGGGCTGGAGAGAGAGCACTCCCCAACTGCCCAGCATGGCCCATGCAGCAATCTCAGGCCCTCAGCCCCATGGCATAGACCCACGCCTACCCCTAGTGTGTTACCCACCCACACGGACCCCTGGGCCCTTGCCCTGCCGACACGCCTGGCCCGTTCCCTGAGCTATGCACCCTATTTATCCCTGCTGTAAATTCAGCTGATGGCTGTGGGGCAGCAAAGAGGGGGAGATCCAACTACACGGGCCTGGCTATTGGGGCTGCAGGGGTGAGGGATACCAGGGTAGATGGGCCCATGGGTCTGACCCGGGGCAGCAGGGAGGGGGATACTGAACTAGACGGACCCATTGTCCAGTGTGTGTCTGGGGAGTGGAGGTGTGGGGGGGTGTATCAGACTGGATGGGCCCATGGTCTGTTCCAGGGCAGCAGGGCAGGTGGGGGGGACATCCGGGTAGATGGATCCCTGAGTCTGACCTGGCACAGCCATTGCCCTGCCCCGCCGGCAGGGGGCGGCAAAGGGGCAGCTGTGTCTCAGGGGGTCTATGAAGGCGAAGAGGGTTTTCCCGGCAGTCGATGCGCCGTTGCTGCGGCTGGTCCCAGGACAGGAGACGGACATGCAGGGGGAGGTCAGAGCTTTTCCCGGCCCAGCATCGGCTGGTGGAAGGGAGGAGCCCGCGGGCGGCAGCGCTCGGTGTCAGGGGACATGATCAGAGCGGCACAGCGAGGGACCGGGGCACGGACTGCTCAGCACACGGAGTTAACGCGCACCGGGAAAGACCGACAGTTACAGCCGCTGTCGGGACAGCAGGTTATCGACGTGACTCACCGCGCTGGGAGCACGCCGAAGCCTTGGTTCATCTTACACTGCAACCAGTAACCGGTACCAGCTACAGCCGGGAACCCCATTCTCTGCGGGCCGGGGCAGCAGTGGGGGCTCCCCAGCACCTGGGGGCTGCTCCAAATCAGCATCAAGATTTACCGTCTCTTTATGGTATGTCCTACAGTAATGTGACCCCAGCGCTCTCTGGGACCGGCCCAGCGAGAGCGCTGCAGCTGGCTGCACTCCCCAGCGGCAAGAGCCGCTCCGCACCCACACGTGACCGTTACCAGCAGTGGCTGTGTCTGGTCCCTGAGTTCACCAGGCAGTGGGGCGGGACGTGCCGTGCGCATCCACCCTGACGAAGCGGGGCTGGAGCGATCCAGGGGAGGTGGACGCCAGCAGGGAGCAGAGCCAGAGCCCACCTCTGACTGGGACGAGGGTTTGGGGGCTGATTCTCCCCTAGCTGCCCCCAGGGTGAATCGGAAGGGACGGCACTGGGGAGAGGGGGGCTGGGCGGGGAGAGGCTTGGCTGCGTGAGAGGGGAACCAGGCCCTGCAGCTCAGAGCAATGCCGAACCAGAGCACAGGGGTCTGGGACACGAGGGACGGGGCCTTAATCTGTCTGCGCTGTTTATCTGGTGAGCTGTTCGGGGCAGGGTCTGTCTCTCACTGCAGGTCTGGGCAGTGCCCGGCATGACGGGGCCCTGATCTTGGTCGGGGTCTGGGCAGCGCCCAGCACAACGGGCCCATGATCTCCGCCAGGGCCTTTAGGGACCGCTGTATTAAACAGTAAAAGACAAACCCGAGCACCATCTGTGCAAAACTGCTCCGTGAAGTCAGGGAGTGAATTAGCTCCGTGAGCGGGTGCAGGGCAAGCACAGCTGGGATCTCAGGGCAGGACACCGGGGCAAAGCCCAGGCAGGGCATCAGCCTGGGAAAAGGCCCCACGGTGGCTGGGCAGGGAGATGAGACACAAAACCTGCGAGAGCCAGGGACTCAGGAACAGAAACCTCAGGGTGTTTGAGTTCAGATCTCTGTAACAGCCACCGACACCCCCAAATCCCTGTAACACATAGCCCCCAACACCCCCAAATCCCTGTAAC